GACAGCGCTCCATGCCCAGGCTTGACCTCACGACCCTGAGGAAATCCCGGAACACCAGGCGGCTCGCTTGTCTTCTCCAGCATCCCCTCCCTCATGGCTTCTCGGAACAGCAGGCACAGGCGGAGCTCTCCCTCCCCGGGCTGGCACAGACCGCAGGGTGCCAACCCCTTCCTCCCGGTGAGAAAATCATTCGCAAACCGCCTCGTTAACTGCGCCCACCCATCCCAGATAGACTGATCATTCCATATTCATTTGATCCTACAGGACGCCTACATTGTCAACTTAAAGGCTCTACGAGTTACAGGGGATCCTACAAAAGCAGATTTCATCTGCCAGACAGGAGTGAAGGGACCACACCATTCAGTCCGTCAGAGCCAGCTGCTCTTCCTCTGTGCGCTGCCCAGCCGTCTCGCACTGATGGGATGACGTCCCGGATGATCCCAGCGTATCGGCCTCAGGATGGCGGCTTAAAGAGGGATTCTGACGCACTGCCAACTCTCAGTGTCAAAGGGCACTTTGAGCGAGGGGAACAGTATATATCGCAAAATATATTTCGAATGCTTCTACATGAAAGACTATCAAGACGGACTCCGCCCTCTGGGGAAAACACTCCGATTCTCCCCCGTTCCCCCGCCAGCCCGGCCTCGGCAGCGACCCACACGTTCCGGCTCTTTCCAAAACCCTTCGGCACTCCGGCCCAGAGTCACACCGGTTGAACCCGAACCCGAGAGCACCCTGGGAACATGGCACGCGAGTTACCAATACTACGCCACTGGGCGTCCGTGCGAGGCCCTTGTGTTCCTGCTGCCGAGGAGTGTCACAACTGGGGCAGATGGCAACACCCCAGACTCAAGGCGAACTGCGAAGCGTTCGAGTAAACGGATGGCATTTTTTTCCACCTCGTCCTGGGCGCTCAGGTCAACCCTGCTGAGCCATCTAGACCAAAGGGAAAACAGTAAAAGAAGAGAGACTTGCACCCAGCCCTGTAACCCTATACAGTAATTTTCCCCAAGGTGTTCAGTGCCAGGGGCAAGATGCTGGTGCCGTTTAAACCCGATGCAAACGGTATTCAAACTAGATATTCCAGCTCTGCTTGGGGACATCTATATCCTTCTGCTGCGTGGACAGGTGGCCTCTCGAATGTGGAACGTCCTCTGTGTAGTGGGGTTCAACACTGACCACCATTTGTGCCCAAGAAGGCTTGCACTGTTCGGTGCCCACCGTCATTGCCCCCTGAGGATGTGCTTCAAGTTCCCCACACATTTATAGACACTGAATTCCAATTTCTCAGTTTTCCCCAAAGCGGAGGTGCCTGGAACAGGCCAGCTACTTTCAGAAGCGCTTGAAACTCTCCCTGCTGCAGTCCACACTGGGAAACTGCAAGCAGAATGCCAAGGAATACGAAATGGCATATCTGGTAGTTATTAGCCAACTGCTCCAAAGATTATATCTGTCCGTTTCTTAAAAGAAGCCAAAGCATCAGCTTCAGCAGCACTCCTGGGTGGCGTGTTCCACTCCTACCACCCTTTGTGTAAAGAAACATCCTCTGTGCTGTTTTACATACACTTTCACATAGCTTCCACTTCTGTCCCTTGCTTGGTGGTTCAGATCATACTGAAAAAAGCGGGTTGAATTCCTCAGCATCTCTGAAGATTTGGAATGCTTGAATACTTGTACAAAATCCTCTCATTGTCTTCTCTGTACAAGACCAAAAAGGTTTTTTCCTTCAGCCTGTCCGAGACCTGGAATATATCTCCGGACCCACTGCAGAGCAGCAACACCTTTTCTATAGACCAGCAAAATGATCACAATTGTACACAAGATTCGGTATGATGCGTTATACACTTGCAACAGTATTGCAAACAATATTCTGTTTGCCTTTTTCACTGCATTCCCACATTGCCTGGAAGAGGTAAACAATGCGTCTACAGTATATAAACACCCAAGTCTTTTTCCTAAATAAGCACGTAAAGGGAAGTGACCGGAATATGTTTAGGTTCTGCCTTGATGCTAAAAAATCTTGTTTCGCTCACACAAACTAACTAGGACCAGAGGCCAGGTCACCTAGAGGATGCGACAGGCGTGTGGAGACAGGAGAGGATTTTTTAAGTGCTTCTGGGAGGGGACTGGAATGATACCCCCCAGAGCAAACCAAATACCTGGTTTTCAGGTCTCTTAAACGCTACACACTTTTATTTCTATTATGTCATTTACTACCAATCTTCTGCACAACTGGAAACCCAACCATAACCCTGATGACAGATACACAGGATAAAATATATAACAATACACACCGAAAGTCTCTTCCCAGCTAGTACATCATTCGGCACTTTGTAAACCACCTGGTGAAAAACGATTGTGCAAATCACTGTGCTCTCCTGGCTTACTGCCCGTGTGCCTGGATCAGGAACACGGAGTCACCTTCTCCGGCAGCACTGTAGCCCACAACCACTGCCACGCCTTCCCCCTCCTGCCCTGCAGGCACTGCGGGCACAGCCCCCCCAGAACAAACCGGATCCCCACTGGATGGTGAACCGAGCCACACCGGGATTTCCCAGCTCCAGGCCCTGCATGCAAGCCAACCCCAGGCCCTGGCTCATTTCAGATGAACCCTTTCTGCGCAGGCCTGCCCAGACAGGCACACACCCTGGAGTAAAACCTGAAGCGGATCTTCCCGCTACGCAGTGGCCTCTGATCTATGCAACGCATTTCCCGGTATTGCATCCTTTGTAGCGCCAGCGGCTGGTGTCTGGAGTGGGCTTGTCTCTCCGGCTGCTACTACAGTCTTTCCCTTACACAGCCCTGCAGCAGAGCTGGAGGAGTTTGTGCGTCATTAAGGTGTTTGCTTTTAAGCAAATCTTTCGCTTTCTGTCCTAAGACTGGGCTTGCATGACAAGACAAAATAACCAAATCCACCCAAATGTTTTTTTTTTTAAACAAAACAGTTGTCATGACCAGAACCTTGGGTAAACATGACCTGAAGACCATAGCTGAGGGTGAAGAAAGCTCAATGCATTCTGGATAATTCTGAATACTTAGTAAGAAACAACACCTTGCAATGGGTCACTGCATACTGTCAGGGATTTCTTCTTTATGGAGCAGATCGCCTGCATGTCAGCCTGTGAAGTCTTTGTCTCGAAATATGCACACACTAGGGCTTGCAAATCTGCTGTAAATTACAAATCAAAATAGCAATCTTGGAAATCTACAACAGAATATGGGCATTTCTCCCCAGAAGCAGGAATAAAGCTGTTCTCCTTTGAAAATCACTGGGACACTGCAGTGCTAGTCTTGCATTCTTCAGGGACAGTCCATTGGACAGGACTGCAGAGAATTATTTTCTTAATAGTTGGAAGAATTTTACAGAAGTATTCAAAGGGCATGAAGGTTTGTTTCGAGTGTGTTTCTGAGGCCACAGGGATGCTCCAACCAGACCCAGGTTCCAGGCAGGAAAAGCAGCCACAGGGATTCCTTAGGAACACGACTTTCCGACCGAACTCTCCTCTGAACTACAGCAATGTCTGCACCAGGAGAGT